GTAGAGGCTTGTAGACATATCCTATCAGTTAGTACAGTATGTTGGTCTTGTAGGCGTGGTATGTATATTTTGTTGGTTTGTCAGCTGTAGTAGTTATGACGACCTTGTCGGCCCAGCTTTATATTGATGTTTAGTTAGCGCTAGTTTCCATTCAGTTTTATATTTTGCTTCTCAAATTGTCTTGCAATGTGTCCCCATGGCCAAATTATGACATTATATGTTCAGAGTCCCTTAGTCGCAATTTGGTATGCTAGGTTAGGTGAGGCACCGAGTGCCGGTCTCGCTCCAAGGTTCGGGGCATGACAAACTTGGTATCAGAGCAGTTCTGTCCTATGGAGTCTACAAGCCGTGTCTAGTAGGGTCTTGTTTATAGATGTGTTGTGCACTACATTACATAAACAGGGAACTACAGGGTATTTTGGAGTTGGTTACCCTTCTTTCAAATCTAAATCGTGATGTAGAACTGAGTTATAGAAAATTTGAGTTAAACTTACATGTTGGTGTTACATACACAGATGACCGTGACTAGGAAGACTATGGCTAGCCAAAAGGAAGATGCATCAACAGGTGAAGGGATCAACAGGGTACCCTCAGTAGATGGGTCCCAGTCTGAGGCCCAGGGCGAGACACCTACTCAACCATTACCGGCTCCTCCACCATCTTAGGAGATTCCTACGGATATCGCACATCCAGTTCCCCCTCCACTTTCATCAGATCAGGACTTGAGGAGTGTGGTGCATTTGTTGACACAGTTGGTAGCTACCCAGCAACAAGCTAGGGCATCAGCTAGTGCAGAGGGGTCTGGGAGTTCAAGGGTCCGAGAGTTTATTGCTTTGAGTCCCCTAGAGTTCATGGGGACAGACCAGAGGGAGGACCCGCAGGATTTCATAGATCAGCTTCACAGGATCTTTCGGGTTATGCATGCCACAGAGAAAGAGGTAGTTGAGCTAGCAGCTTTTCAACTCCAAGATATAGCCATCCTTTGGTACGAGGGATGGGAGAGGTCCATGGCACGTGATGCACCTCCAGCTAGTTGGGAGAATTTTTCAGATGCCTTCCTTGACCAGTACTTACCGCGGGAGATCCTACATGCTTGGGTCGATCAGTTTCTAGCCCTAAAGTAGGGCAATATGAGTGTTCGAGAGTATAGTCTCCGTTTTGACTCACTAGCCAGATATGCACCATCCATAGTTACTATTATGCGAGATAGGATCCACAGGTTTATATCAGGATTAGCCCCAGAGTTGATCGAGGCATGTGCCACCGCTGCATTGCATGATAGTATGGATATCTCCCGGATTCAGGCATTTGCTCAAAATATAGAAAGGGGTAGGCGTCGGTAGTAGGGTACAGAGAGGACTGAGCAAGGGCAACGTAAGAGGATGATTTCCTAGGTCTCAAGAGCAGTCTCAGGGTAGTTATAGGCCCTAGTACTTCGGATGACCACCTAGGCCTCCGTCACCTCAGTTACAAGGTTACAGGGATGACCATTATACCCAGCCAGGACCAGGTGAGAGCTCACAGGCGTCGGGTTTGCAGCGACAGTGAAGTTTAAGGCAGACATGGTCATTTCTGCCGCGGTGTGACATCTGTGGTAGAGGACACTTGGGTCAATGTTGAGCAGGTTCTGATGCTTGTTATACATGTGGGAGTCCGAGACATATGATGCGAGATTACCCAAATAGAGATTCCGGGGGTATGGCACAACCAGAGAGTTCAGCAAAAGGATCATCTATGTCTGTGCATCCTTTAGGGCGTGAGTCTCAGTCTTCGACTAGTAGAGGTAGAGGTTCCAGTTCAGGTGGTAATCAGAATCGTATCTATGCTTTAGCGGGTCGACAGGACCAGGAGTCTTCACCAGACGTTGTGACAAGTATATTGACCATTTGCTCTCACGATGATTATGCCTTGATAGACCCAGGATCTACATTATCATATATTACCCCATTTGTCGCGGGTAAGTTTGGTATAGTGCCTGAAATACTAAGTGATCCTTTTGCAGTATCTACACTGGTCAGAGAATCGATTATTGCTAGACGGGTTTACCGAGGTTGTACGGTGATAGTTTGTAGTCGTCAGACCACATCCGACCTAGTTGAGCTAGAGATGATGGATTTTGATGCTATCATGGGCATGGACTGGTTGGTATCTTTCTATGCCACAATTGATTGCCGAGCAAAGGTAGCCAAATTTCATTTTCCAGATGAGACAGTCCTTGAATGGGTAGGTAATACAATGACACCCAGAGGTAGGTTTATTTCCTATCTGAAGGCGAGGAAAATGATCNATTTCATTTTCCGGGTGAGCCAGTCCTTGAATGGGTAGGTAATACACCAACACCCAGAGGTAGGTTTATTTCCTATCTGAAGGCGAGGAAAATGATCGCAAAAGGGTGCATTTATCATATTGTGCGAGTTAGAGATGCAGATGCTGAGATACTTACACTTCAGTCTATTCCCGTAGTCAAAGAGTATGCAAATGTATTTCCATATGAGCTTCCAGGTATTCCTCCAGAACTAGAGATTGATTTTAGCATCAATTTGCTTCCAGGAACTCAACCAATATCCATCCCTACGTATAGAATGGCACCTGCCGAATTGAAGAAGTTGAAGGAGCAGTTAAAAGATTTGCTGGAGAACGGTTTCATCATGCCCAGTACCTCACCTTGGGGTGCACCAGTACTGTTTGTGCGGAAGAAAGATGGCTCGCTGAGGATGTATATCAATTATAGGCAGTTGAACAAGGTAACTATTAAGAATAAGTATCCACTTCCAAGGATCGATGACATGTTTGATCAGTTGCATGGGGCTAGATTATTTTCAAAGATAGATTTGAGGTCGGGATACCACCAGGTCAGAGTTCGGGAGGAAGATATTCCAAAGACAACCTTCAGGACCCGATATGGCCACTTCGAGTTCCTTGTCATGTCCTTTGGGTTGACGAATGCACCCACAATATTTACGGACTTGATGAATAGCCTATTTCGGCTATTTTTAGATCTGTTCTTGATAGTATTTATTGATGATATTCTGGTTTATTCAAGTTCAGAGGATGAGCATGTGAACCACCTATGAGCGGTACTCCAAACCCTCCGTGATTGTAAGTTGTATGCTAAGTTTTCTAAATGTGAGTTCTGGTTGAAGTCTGTAGCATTCTTGGGGCATATTGTATCCGATGAAGGTATAAAGGTAGACACTCAGAAGATTGAGGCCGTGAAATCTTGGCCTAGACCTACCACTCTGATAAAGGTTCATAGCTTTCTAGGCTTAGCAGGATACTACCGGAGGTTCATAGAGGGTTTTTCTTCCCTTTTGGCACCATTGACGAAGTTTACGCAGAAATCAACTAAGTTTCAGTGGACGGAGGCTTGTGAGCGGAGTTTCTAAGAGCTTAAGAACAGGTTGACCTCAACGCTAGTTCTAACACTTCCAGAGGGTCCAGAGGGTTATGTCGTGTATTGTGATGCCTCAAGTGTCGGGTTAGGATGTGTCCTGATGCAATATGGGAAGGTAATTGCGTATGCTTCAAGGCAGTTAAGGAAGCACAAGAAGAATTATCCGATCCACGACCTCGAGTTAGCTGCAGTTGTCTATGCACTTAAGATATGGCGACATTATTTATATGGTGTTCATGTTGATGTATTTACAGATCATAAAAGCTTGCAATATATCTTCAAGCAAAAAGAGTTGAATTTCCGATAGAGGCGATGTCTTGAGTTATTGAAAGATTACGATGTTTACATTCTCTACCATCCAGGGAAAGCTAATATTGTAGCAGATGCCTTAAGTCACCGATCTATGGGTAGCTTAGCACATGTAGAGGCCTAGAAAAGATAACTAACTAGAGAGATTCATCAGTTGGCTTGTTTGGGGGTTCAGTTAGTACATGTAGAGGCAGATCTTGGATTGGCTGGTTCCAAGCCTGTTGCAACACCCATGGAGCTCAATTAGAGACTTACCAACATAGAATTTGATCAAGGCTGTGAGACTGAATGCACTACTGATAAAGTGTTACATGATCCTGCTGGTTATCAAAGGCTAGTGAGAAAGCTGCTTTATCTAACTATGACTCGACCAGATATAAGCTACAAAGTACAGAACTTGAGTCAATTCATGCATAGGCCAAAGAAATCACACACGGAAGGGGCACTAAGGGTGGTGAGATATCTGAAGAATGCACCTGGATTGGGAATACTATTTTCATCCAAACTATCATCAAAGCTTACAGTTTATTGTGATGCGGATTAGGCAACTTGCCCTATGACAAGAAGATCAGTGAGTGGTTTTATAGTCAAGATGGGAGACTATTTGATTTCCTGAAAATCAAAGAAGCAAAACACAGTGCCAAGGAGCTCAGAAGAGACTGGATATGGGAGCATGGCAAATGCAATTGCAGAAATAGTATGGCTTACTGGGTTATAGGAAGAATTGGGAATGCAACTAAAGTTGCCAGTGAAACTATTTTGTAATAGCAAGGCAGCACTTCAAATTGTTGCTAATCCTATATACCATGAGCGAACGAAACACATAGAGATTGATTGTCATTTCATTAGAGAGAAGATTCAAGAAGGCCTTATATGCATAGAACATGTGCCCACAAACTTGCAGGTGGTTGATATCTTAACTAAAGGACTAGGGACGGCACAACATGAAATTTTATTATCCAAGCTGGGAATGTTCAATCTGTTTACATTACATAGCTTGAGGGGGAGTGTTGAAGGTGTCACGTGAGTGGAGTGACAGCTGGATCCTAGCTGGAGAAGAGTTAGTTGAGTAGTTATTAATTAAGTAATTAGGAAGGTAGTTAGGTCGGTTATACTCTGTGTACAGTGCATTGTTTAATATAACAGTGAAAATTCATTTCCTCTCTTTTCCTCTCTGTTCCTCTCAGTCGTGTAAAGCTTTCCACAGAAGCATTCATGGCAGACGCTTAACACAAAATCTAACACAGGTTAAATTTTTGGTGTAAATATGCAATAGCTTCACATTATTCGAAATTTGGAGTCGAATTGATTGCTTATGAGCTATCAGACAAAGGGACTTGTTCGAGTTCAAGTTGCAGATCAAGTGTCACATTTTAAAATCAAATGAAACATTACATGTGAATCAGCATATCAAGATCAGAAAATAAGAAGAAAAAAAAAAGGATACAGACTGCAACATCACTTATGCTTTTGAGGAGCTTTATGTAACAATTGTTGAGCCACATCTAACAAGTCAGGACTTAATCTAAACATCAAAATACAAAATTCAATCTGATCAAGAGCTCCATCACCATCCATATCTCCTTCCATAAGCATGTTCTTTAACTCAGCTTCACTAAAATCTTGCAACCCCAGTAGCACAGAGTTCTTCTTTAGGCTCTCAAGTGTGATCACTCCCTTGTCACCATCCATTAAAATTTGGAAACCTTTGCATAGCTCGTTGATCAGTCCATCTCTTCCTAGCTTTTTGGCCATAATTGGTAGCAAATCTTGAAATTCTAAATGCACCATCTTTGCTTTTCCTGCTTCCATTTCAGCTCAATGACAAAAGCTAGCCGTTGTGCTTGTTGCAGAATTAATGAGTGGATATTTATAGCATGGATGCAATATCTTCTTAAGGAAGTTTTCCGGTGAATTTAAAGACTAAGTCAGATGAAGAATTTCTCTAACTATTACTTGGAACTTGCGTTCAAGCCTTTCAGGATCTTTGCTTGTTTGGAAATTCTATTTCAGACTTGGTCAGTCTTTTCATTCGTCAAAATGCCTTACAAGTGAATTTTCAAGGAAACCAATGATGTGTGTTTGGCACGACGATGGAAGTCATTTTTTAATGAATTTTTCAATTAGAAAATGTTTATAATGTAGGTAGGTAAGTGAAAAATTCAAATAAAATAAAAAAATATATATATTAAAGATTAATATTATTACCAAATTGGAGAGTGTTCTGATGAAATTTGTAAAGATTATAATAATGTCCAAATGTTACACGAAGCAAATATTATGAAGTAAAAAGTTTTATTGATAAGGAAAGTGACTTATTTCCCATTTTTTGATGTAAAATATTTTCCTTGGGAAACATCTTTTAGCACCGGAAAATAACTTTTTCAATAGAAAATATTTTTTTGGAGAAGAACAAAAGTAGGCATGACCAGATTTCATTATATATATTATTATTATTATTATTATTATTATTATTATTATTATTATGATTTTTTAAAGTCAATTCGATGGCCAAGCAGGACCGTCAATTTGATCAAGTCTCCTTTTCCCGGCGTCCATTAATCGATGAATTTGGAAAGTCAGCTCCAATTATCTTCTACTCCCACAAAATCACTTACCCACATTGGATCTCTGTCTTTCTTTTTTGAATTCTTATATTTTTTTTTTCCCTCCTTTAACTTTTAATTCTATCACACTGAAATAGTAATTCGCAAGGCATAATTGGCTTGATGTCCGTGGAAAGGAAGATGGTTGCAATAGATTGATAGCCAAGTAAAAATAATCTAACCAAGATGAATTTTTTGAATATTACAGAGAATTGATATAACCAATACCAACTAATTTGAGATTAAACATACTTGATTAAATTGATTGATCACATTGAAATAATCAGGGGAATGGAATTTGAGATCCAACATTTTCTTGTCAGGTAACATGTTTAATTAACCTAAGAATTGTGTTATTCCACCATCTAACTTAATTGGCTAGTAGTAGCATATAGCATTCACACTTTTTAGCTATGTGGTTTTAGATCTTTACTATTCGTTTTTACTCCATCTCCAACGAACTAAATGTTGAAGGGAGATTTTTCAATTTAAGAATTAGTAGAACATGTAAAATTAGTAGAACATTTTTACACGTTTTTTTTTTTTTTTTTTGTTGTTAATGTTGGTTGCTTCCTTTTCATTGTTTCTTGAGCCTAGAGTCTATCAAAGACAGTCTCTCCACCTTCACAAAGACAGGAGTATGGTTTGCGTACACATTATGCTCCTCATACCCCACTTGTGGGATTACACTGGGTTTGTTGTTGTTAATGTTGGTTGCTTCCTTTTCACTGTTTCTTGAGCCTAGAGTCTATCAAAGACAGTCTCTCCACCTTCACAAAGACAGGAGTATGGTTTGCGTACACATTATGCTCCTCATACCCCACTTGTGGGATTACACTGGGTTTGTTGTTGATGTTGTTGTTATCATATATGAATTTCATTCGATGGGAGAATTGCTCTTTTGACGATTAGCAGTTGCTGGAAAAAGCAATAGACAAGATTTGTAAACAGGAACTCCTTTGGGATCATATGAAGTAGAATAAAGCAGAAGTAGTTTAACAAATTACTCTGTGCAGGAAATTCATTACCAAGATTTCCTGCAGTTTTTGGATTTTTCTGAAGCAAGTGTCAGGAAGGGGCATCTAGTGGAGTGACTGGAATTATTAGTTTGTCAAAATTATTATATTCCAGTGGAAGGATTGCAATAATACCAGTTTGATGACTTTTTCATCAATTGCATATTTTCGTTTGTGGAATTTTCAAATATTTGGACTATGGTGGTTGATTAGTTGGGAATGTTTGGCTGTATTACTGGTTTGGTAGAATTTTCAAAGTCTTTTCTTCTTCTTCTTCTTCTTCTGAGATGATGAGATAAGCACATTGATGTCAATTTATGGACACTTGAATGTTCGTTTGAGTGTTCATCTCTTCCCTTGACTTGTCAATACTCTTTCACAACAGGTACTCGGGAATGAAGATATTGTTGGCTGATTTACTTCTCTTATTTTTGTATTTTTATTTAGTTAGCTGCAATAATATTCGTTCAGATGCGTTGTTGCCTGGCAGTTTACTTTCCTTTTCTGCAGGAGATACATTAGTATCCAAACTAGGGAAGTTTGAACTTGGTTTCTTCTGTCCAGGTAATTGCGATAAGCTCTTTATTGGTATATGGTATTCAAACATAAAAACCAAAACTGTAGTTTGGATAGCAAATAGGGACAACCCCATTCGCCCTCCATTTAATAATTCTCATCTAGAGCTGACTGATGGAAACCTACAACTATTGGATACACTTAAAATAAGAGTTTGGAGTACTAATGTATCTATAGCTTCAAAAGAAGATGGCAATAGGGCAGTACTTCTTGACTCTGGAAATTTAGTTTTGACAAATGGCATTGAGATAAAGTGGCAGAGTTTTGATTATCCAACAGATACATGGCTTCCTGGTGCAAGGATTGGATTCGATAAGAGCAAGAACACACTCCAGAAACTTACTTCTTGGAGGAATCTGAATGATCCGGTTACAGGAAAGTACTCTTTGCAATTAGACAAGAATCAAAATGGTGAGTTAGTACTACTAGATAACCGCGTGGAAAACTGGAGGAGTGGGCCTTGGGACGAAGGAGGGTTTGCTTCTCTTGCTGAAATAAAGGGTGTATTCAACTTCAGCTATGATCCAACTAAAGATAGTAAATATATTACTTACAATGTCTTTGGTGAATCTGACATTTCTCGAATTGTCCTAGACTCTCAAGGGCTGATACGTGTATGGTTCTGGTCCAAAGACGATCAGAAGTGGCTATTAGTGTTGCTTGGACCTGCTGATTCTTGTGACCGAATAAACATCTGTGGTTCTTTTGGAATTTGTGACATAAATTCTGCTCCACCCTGTGAATGTTTACAAGGTTATGAGCCGAAGTATAAATTAGACTGGGATATTAATGACTATTCTGGTGGGTGTGTGAGAAAAACTCCAATGCAGTGTGGCAGCAAAAACGTAGGTTTTGTCCATATACAAAATGTAAAACTTCCTGCGTCATCTGAATCAATGCTAGTGGGGAATGATCAGATCTGTGAATATATATGTTTGTCCAATTGCTCATGTAATGCGTATGCTTACAGCAGCGGTGGACAGTGCTTATTATGGAATGGCAATGTGTTCGATCTGAAAAGATTACGTAACAATTCAAGTCAAGTAGAGTTCAACCTTAAGCTTTTTGAGAGCTCCAACAAAGGTTAGCTGCTTCCAAGCTGTATCTTGTTCTAATGTGTGCTTCCTTTCAACCGGAAAAAAATGGTATTTTCCTCCTTTCTTGATATGTCTTATTGTTTAGGAAAGAAGAAACCACTGTTGGTAGCACTAGCAGCATCCATCACTTCAGCAATATTTGTCTGTGGTACATGCTGTTACTTTCTATGGAGAAGACATCTCAGGGAAAAAGGTACATCTCTTTCTTTTAGCATCCATCTCTGTGCTTTATGAACATACTCCATGCTTATTAACAAATCCTAATCTTTCTTGAATGTGGTTAATTTTCGTGTGACATTCTAATTCTTAATGGTTGCTGGTTGAATGACTTAAGTCAATTCTACCTTGACATAACTGCAGGGGATCTATCAAAATTTAGCTTTGGTTTAGTTGATCATGGAAAGGAAACTGTATTCTCATTGTCAATGAGAATAATGGACTAGATAAAAAGTTTAAACTGCGTATGTTCGGCTTCTTCTAAACTAATCTATACCCTTGCCATTTCAGGGATTTTGAGAAAGAAAAAGTTCAGGGAAATGTTACTTGCTGAGTTAGCAACTAACTTGGCAAAACCTGGACATTCCAGTAATAAGGGACAAGAAAAGAAAAGTGACATTGAACTGAAGTTCTTTGAATTACATGACCTGAAAGTTGCGACAGACAATTTTTCCCTCGACAATAAGCTTGGAGAAGGAGGTTTTGGGGCTGTTTTTAAGGTATTGCTACTACATGAGAGAATATATTAACAACCTGAATATCTGCAACACCAAAATCTGCTCACGCTTAAGGAAAATGGAAAAAGCCCCTCTTGAAATGACCAGATGGCATACTGGTTTAAATTTACGTCTTTTTCATATTGAGTTTTCAAGGTGTGATAAATTAGTAGTTTGCGATTTCTAGGGTCAATTACCAGATGGGCAGCAAATAGCTGTGAAAAGGCTATCAACTCAATCAAGGCAAGGTATAAGTGAATTCAAAACTGAGGCCCTTCTCATTGCAAAACTCCAACACAGAAATCTTGTTAGGTTCCTTGGCTGCTGTGTAGAAGACGAGGAGAAAATGTTGATATATGAATACATGCCAAACAAAAGTTTAGACTATTTCATATTCGGTATGATTACTTATCACCTGATTTTGTGTTAACCCTTTCCTCCTGTCAAATAGTGCTTACTGGATAAATTTGATATGAACAACTTAGACGAGAGCAAGAAGTCGTTGCTTGATTGGAAAAAGCGGCATGAAATCATTATTGGAATAGCTAGAGGGATACTCTATCTTCATCAGGACTCAAGACTGAAAATAATACACCGTGATCTGAAAGCCAGCAACATTCTTTTGGATGAAGATATGAACCCCAAGATATCAGATTTTGGTACTGCTAGAATATTTAGTGGAAACCAAAATGAAGCTAAGACTCTTCGAGTTGTTGGAACATAGTAAGCAAACAAATACTACAAGGGATTTTTCCATCACATCCTTACCATTTACCAATACTTTGCATACTCATTATAACCCCTTTTTCTGTGCAGTGCCTATATGTCACCTGAATATGCTCTAGCTGGTCTGTTCTCAGTAAAATCCGATGTTTTTAGCTTTGGCGTTATGTTATTGGAGGTCATTAGTGGAAAAAAGAACAGGATATCTTATAACAGTGATTCCCCTCCAAATTTGATACGGCAGGTAAATTTTAAAGATGCAAGCATTTGAATCTTTATCTATGACTAAAAATCAAAATTCATTTCAATGAACTGCTGCTTCAGGCCTGGGAACTGTGGAATGATGGCAAGGCTTTTGAGCTGATAGATCCAACAATAGTTGATTCTTGTCCCAATGAGGAAGTACTACGCTGTATTCAAATAGGACTATTGTGTTTGCATATCGATGCAGCACACAGACCAACAATGTCATCAATTCTGTTCATGCTAAGTAATGAGGCAACAGTTCCCTCCCCGAAGCAGCCATTGATTACCCTTACCTCCAACTTGAATACTACAGAAACAACATCATCTTCGATCAATGAGGTGACAATTACAGCACCTGATGTTCGTTAGTTGTGTGATATGTTTATGTATTTCTGTTATATGTTGTCCAAACATTCAAGTTGGCACTACTTCCTAAAGTATGAGGTAATCTTCCATGACTCAATGCATTAAATTAGAATAGAATTTGATATAACAAATGATTGTACTTTGACACTGCTCCTCAAAGTAAAGAATAACATATTATTTTGATTTCAAGCACAAAGAGAGAATGAAACTACAATGCTCTTATATCATGAACTTACATTTATTGTTANTCTCATAATCTTACTACAAAACAAAAGTCAAAATCTTAAAGCAACGCTTCAAAAGATTACTTACATATTGTCTAAGTTGCTCGGACATGGGTGCGGATGTAGAGGTCGGATCATTCGAGATGTAAATTTTAAGATTTGGGGATACAGTCCTAGTGTGGATACGGGTGCGGGAATCCGACTAAAAATAATTCAAATAAATAAAAATATAAAAATATCTCTAAATTATGAAAAAATTTGTGGAATACTTACGTATAGCTTGTAAATTGTGAATTTCTTTTTTATTCTCAAGTTGTAGATAAGTAAATGATTGATTTCCTAGATAAGGTATACTATTTTCTTCAAATTTACCCTATTTTTGGTTCTGGTTTCTGGAATTAAATTGCATCTCGTCTCACATTTTTCCGTCTATCGGGGTCAAAGTACAAAGAGCGCCATTTAATTCACAGATAAAGTAGAAACCTTATGCAGTTATGTTTCTCTTCTACTCACAAAAACAGAACTATTTACCCTTACCTACCAATTTACTTTTCTACCCGTCAAACTAATTACCTTTCCTACATATTGTAGCTTTTGGGGGTAACTTCCTCTTTTTTTTCCTTTTCTTTTTTATTTCTCAGCTTCTTGTCTTTTTTCTTCCTTTCTCCTTTACTTTTTTCTCGTTTTCTTCTCCTTTTTTTCTGTATATTATTTTGGTCCAAATCATATTATTATTATTATTTTCATCATAATTTAACTTCACACTCAATTTTGGCTTTTTTTTTTCTTTTGTTTGTTTTTTATTTCTTGTTCCTTTTCCAATTTCATTTAACTCCCCTTTTTATATTCTTTTTCTCTTCATAATCTAATTTCATTTACTGTTTTCACTATTTTTTATTCTTCTTCTTTTTTATACAATAAGAAAAGATAACTGATATAGTAAATATTTGTTCACCTTTATTTTTAATATAACTAGTATAATTTACCTTTTGTCTTTTTTTTTCATTTTTTTAATTCAATTATTAAACTGAAATAATATCAGTTGTCACTTGATCTAATTTACTGAATATGAATATCACACTGACTGCTGCTGAGCACCATAAATTACATAATCAGATTCTAAGAATCAACACGTGATTGCCATACAAACCTTGCCTCCTTCCCTATGAATATCAGTATACACTCTACCATAAGCAATAACACAACCAGTTATGGAACAAGAAAACACAATCTTTAACCACTAAATCTCCATATATACTAGTTAGAATAGAAATGATAATAAAATATTAAAAAATGCAATAAAAGTATAAATAGCAAAAAAGATTTCTAGTACCATATGATACCAATATGGTATACATATATACCCACATAGTATATGATTGCTCTAGGATATTGCTACAACTATCTGTGACTATACAACTGTACCAAAACATTAAAGGATGCAATAAAAATAGGAGAAAATTACATGCTCGCATTGCAAGCTAAATATTCGCAAAGCAACTTGCTCATTCCGTATATGATCTTTGACTACTCAATTCAGAATTAGTGGAAGTTTGTTTCCAATATGATCAGCAAAGCAACCATCCAAACTTGGGCAGCATTCATACAACCAAATTTGCAAAGCCAACGGGAGCTACCGAGCCTATAAAAGAAAGCTTATATTGAAACTTGTTGGAACATGACTCAATTGTAGCGTTATAAATATCTATACTCTAAGGATAATTATTAAAATCATCGCACTCAACCAAGTCAATGTAAGACCGTGAAATAATCGTTATTTTGATCATAGAAATTAAAAAGGTGTTCACAAAATAAAGAACTACTATCTTCACTGCATCATTATCGGACTCCCATTTTCTTTTCATAAAACAGTCTTCTAGTTGGGTCCATGTCATAGATGAAGTCCCAAAATATTTTGAAATCATCCTATTCTCTGATGGGCTTTCTATACTTATTCCACTACGGATACAAAAGGACAGAAAAGGGATTCAACAGCAGCACCGTCTCTACGAAGTGTTCACCCAAATCAAAACGCAACCTAGAATCGCTCACTACAAACCGCATCTCGTCTTTCACCTCATGATGTACTTTCCTATAGTAAGTAAATGGTGCATAACTCGAATCTGCACAATGACTTGTGGCAGATCCATAAAATATCCAAAGCATATTTTCCTAAACATCTGAAATTGCTTCTTTGTTAACTTCTCTTTCAACTCACGAATGATGTTACAGTTGGTATCCAATCTATCTTTGGTCTGTAATCTATGTCTATCGGCACAAGAAAATCCCAACACTGCAAAACATGTTCATATAAATAATTTTAGAATAGAATTCACTTAAAAATGCATCTAAAACAAACAAAAATGTTCCAACTACCATTGACGAGCGCAAAACACGCATTTAAATTGTGCTCGCTAGTCAAAGATAGTATAGTATAATTATCGTATCCACAGGGATTGAATTTAAACAGTATTATCGTAGTTTGTAGCTAGATTGCTATCCAAGAGGATTAACAGTTGGGATTTATATAATTAATAATCTAAAATCTACAGCTATTTGACTAATAACAATCACAACAAAGGCAAGCAAGGAAGTTATCAATGAGAGAAAATAGGATTTTGACGGAATAAGTGCAAGATAATTATCTCGGATTTAACTCTAGATAATTCACTTCTAATATTCAAGCGAGTCTCTCGAATTTACTTAATTATCAGTACAAATGTTTAGTAGAAACTCCTCTCTCGATTAAGTTTCAACCTCACAATATGAACCAATTTAAGCTCTGTGAAGATATGCAAGAATGATTAGTGGATCGGTTTTTAGGAAAACCTCTTTCGATTATTATCCTAACTAGATTTAATCAATGATTCAACTAGCCTCTTTCGATTACTTAGAAGAATCTATGAACTCAATCAACAATATAGTTATCACAACCCAATTCTCCCTCCGTAAGACGTCGTGACGGCACCTAGTCTCTACGACTAGGTAAGCCTAACAAAATGCGAAAATAAAATATGGAAGTAAAACTTAACAACTAACTGCAACAGATAACTAAATAACTGGTAACAATGTCGATTGGCTTGTACAATAACCAGCACTCTAGTAACACACAATATTCCCAAAACCCGGAACATCATAAGTCACAAGCTACAGAAGGAAACTAGTATCTCTATACACTAGAGTCTAATAAAAGAAGTACGGAAGGTAAATGACATAGGATAGAATAGAGGGGGACTTCGAGGTCTGCGAAAGCGGCAGATGTACCTTGAAGTCTCCGTACAGTAGCAAGCACTCTCAGCTAATAGCGGGGCTGATAAGAAGCACCTGGATCTGCACACAAAACATGTGCAGAAGAGTAGCATGAGTACACCACAATGGTACCCAGTAAGTGCCAAGCCTAACCTCGGTAGAGTAGTGACGGGATTAGGTCCGGGCCCTACTGGGATATAATAATAAGACAGATGATATAATAGAATAAAGTAAAACAGAGAAATTAACAGAAAGAATTCACAGAGAAATAACAACACAGTACAATGAGATGACAACAGGGGCGCTCCCGAGATACCGTCTCATAGTCCAAAAAGTAAATACTCAACAGAGGATCTCCCGAGATACCGTCTCGTAGTCCCAAAAGTAAATATGCGAGAAGATATCCCGAGGTATCGCCTCGTAGTCTCCAAAGTAAATGTGCAGGAGGATCTCCCGAGGTACCGCCTCGTAGTCCCAAAAGTAAATATGCGAGGAGATTTCCCGAGGTACCGCCTCGTAGTCTCAAAAGTAAATGTGCAGGAGGATCACTCGAGGTACCGCCTCATAGTCCCAAAAGTAAATATGCAGGGAGAACTCCTAAGGTACCTCCTCGTAGTCTCAAAAGTAAACACACAGCTCAACCGATAAATACAAAGTTAACAGCGAGAATTCTATAGTCTAAGCTGATAACGATCAAGGAAAAGCATGAAAATCAACTAGACATGCTGCACATAGTTCAAATAAACAGTTAAAGCACGTAGACATACGATATTAGACTAAGCAGGATAACTACACATGCTGGTATAACTCAATTAAGATGAAAATAGGTTACTACTCAGTAAAAATTTGGTTTTACAACAAATAGCCCATGCACATACTCGTAACCTCACGTATATAGCACTCACATATCACAACAGTACCAAATCCTAAGGGGAATTCTCCTACACAAGATTAGGCAAGTCACTTACCTCGAACCAAGCTCAATAAATCAGTAAGAATGCCCTTTCCTCGATTATCCGACTCTGAATAGCCCAAATCTAGCCAGACATAATTACATACCATAAATACAACTATAATAGACTAATCTAATTAATGAAATCAAGACTTTAACAAAAAATTTGAAAATCGTTCTAAAAAGTCGACCCGGGCCCACGTCTCAGAATCGGGTAAAAGTCACAAAATACGAACACCCAATCAACCATGAGTTCACTCGTACCAAATTCCTTAATTAGATGATGAAATCAACTATAGATTAGTATAATATAACCATAAACAAGTTAAGAATCATTACCCCAAAGTTCTTTCTGGAAAACCCTTGAATTATCGCCTTAATCCGAGCTCTCAAAGTCCCAAAATTGAAAATGGGATAAAACCCTCGAACTTGGCCCTTTCTGCCCAGCGATTTCGCACCTCAAATTTTGCACACAAGTCATATTTGACATTACGGACCTACTCCAACTTCCGGAATCGGAATTCGACCCCGATATCAAAAAGCCCACTTCCGGTCAAACTTTCCAAAAATTCAACTTTCGCCATTTCAAGCCTAATTCAGCCATATACCTCCAATTCACAATCCAGACACGTTTATAAGTCCAAAATTACCCAACGAAGCTAATGGAACTGACGAAACTCCATTTCGGAGTCGTCTTCCCACAGTTCTGACTACGGTCAAAATCCTAGAACTTAAGCTTCAGCTTTAGGGACTAAGTGT